GTTTTTTGAGACTCAATACTAATATGACCAAATGTGGATATGTTGCTGCGGAGTGTATGAAAGATAGATACATTTTATCCATCTTTTATTGAAATTTCGATAGATGCCAATATAAAAAAATTATGGATATTCTAGCAGAAGTGCGAATAGACGTATAAGACTGAGGACTAATTTGTAATGAAAACAGAAAGCAACAATAGAAATTAAGTGACATGGTGTATAGTAAAAGAATGGTCGTTTAATTTCGCCCGTAACATGTATTCAGAACACACTTGCAAAAGAACGGTATTAGAATTACTGGAAAAAAATATAAACAACATACACAGACGACACCGTACCATTGGCAGACATCCAATAAAATCTGTAAGAGCTATTAGGTTATTGAGTTACACAGTTATGGAAACAAGTCACGAATACGGTCTTGATCTTAATGCAAAATTTATGGTAATCAAGAGAAAGAACATGCAACCTGCCTGCTCTGTTTTATCCACCAATGACCAGGTTATTAGAGAGCCAACAAGATTCAATATCTGGAATGTCCACCTAACGACAAATGGAACGACTCAACGAAGATTCGAAAAAGCGGGATTTTAATTTGTACAATTGAAGAATATGAGTGTGAATCATATACTCATAATCATGATGATAACCAAAATCCGAACCTGATAATAACACATGAAGAAGAAAAGGAATGGTACTAAAATCACTTGTAGATGTTTAAACCTTCCAGATTTCCAAAAATGTGTGCCTGAAATATGAAATATGATTGTGCATAAATGCATAGAATGTTCTATATGGATATAATTTGATAAATTGACTGTTCTCAGAAAATAATGTTTTATTAAAATCCCATAAGCTACAAAAGTTACATACAAGTGTTACTACGTTATTGCCGTCCTAAGAAGAACCGGACAACGGAACCGAGCATTGGAACATTTTGCGTCAATAGTAGGATTTTTGGTCAACGGTTTGAAAAGAAAACTACTGTTTTTCGTGGGCTATTGTTTCGACAATTTTTTGACCAACATCGGGGCTCATAAATTAAGTGTTTCTATATCGTATATTCCGTAACCGTTGAGACATGAAAGATACACTTTTCGTTCTTATTTTTTGATCAATCTAAAGTTGAGCGCTCACCATTTACCTAAATCAAAATCAACGATGTTTAAAATTCATCGTATTGCTGAAATTGATGATGTCGTTTTAGATGGAACCAAGTTCGAAATCTGGTATTTTTCAATACGAGTTTAAAAACTGTAAATCGACCAGGAATATAGTTTGAGTTTGATGGACATCTGCTCAATGCTCGGTACTTTTGAAGTTACAGTTTCACTTCTGAGCAGTTTTTTAAACCAAGTCAACAGACTTGTCAATCGTTGGCCCCGCATTTCTCGCATCATCATCTTAAAGATTATCTCTAGAAGCCTTCCGCTAAATCCATTACGAATCCATATTAAAGCTTCATATATCAACTGGGGATCTTAATCAGACATTTAACTCTGAATTGAAGGATCTAAAGGAGAACGAGCTCAAGTAGGTTAGTCAGTAGGTTATGGAATTGTTTGGCATTGGCTAAAGCCACGCCACTAGTGCAGACTTATAAGGTAAAGAGCAACGACCGAGGAACCGTACGTGTGTGTGAGGTATAATGCCTGATTCTTTTTCAATCGTCTAACAGCATAGAAAGAAAGACCGAATGAGATGACAAGGCGGCAACTTGTAATTAACCGTCCACCGAGCTTGTGACCTTAAAAATACCGGAGAAATTACGGGTTGACTCATAAAAAATTGATATATGGATTTATTCACATTGATAATGGCTTTGCACATATGCTACCAGAGTGATGCCTGGCATGTTAAGTTGTGAATTTTTCGCCACCTTAGATATGTCTGAACTCAGTGGAATGAAGCTATCTTAATTGCAGATAATAGATAATTGCAAATAAACTCAGCTAACAATTATGTTTTATATGTATGTCTCAACTGGAACTGGAACTGGAACTGGAACAGTTATTTAGTGGTTTCTTCTATTACTTCATGGGAAATCCTTGCTATTTTCAAGGTTTCAACTTGAAAACTCAACAAACAATAAAAAGTGAATTTACGGGAATTATTCTGCATAGATTGATTTAAYTGGYAAAAATCCGCTAGAGGTGTATGACAGTGCAATATTCAATTAAGAATGAGCAAAAAAGTGCAAAAGTGCAAAGTAAAAGAGTGGATTGAATCAGAGGATGGTTAAAAGAGAAAGTAAAACATGCAGACACAGTCAAAGCGTCCTCATTGACCATCARGTGACCTGAAGGATATTGTGTTGCTCTCAAAAACACTGAAAGAAAACGCAATAGAGTTCAATGAAAATAGKCATCAATCATATTTATAATGTTTGGAATTGCGTCAGTGTAGGTTTTATTTTTATATGCGTTTTAAAATTTAAAACATAAAAAAACTTTAGTAAGTTCGAATGAATATATATGTACATTCAATCAGTGAAAATATTAATGAAATCCGCCCACAATTTCAGTGTTTATGCGTTTAAAATGCTAATCTTAAAGTGTAGCCCGTGTTTTGCTGTTGTAATTGCGGCTGAATAGTTACTCGCTTTTCAGAAAAATTATAATTTTTACAATGATCACGGTGAACATGGGAAGCTTTTGAACAGAGCTATTCAGAATTCCACATAAATATTTTAAAGGCCGATTTTGAAATCGGAATATATTTTTTTTCGAAAACAATTTTACAGTTGTCATATTTTACGTTCGTAACTCACTTTTTTTTTAGTCATACTGTTGAGAAATGATTTTCTCGTAAACAGTTTATTAGGAAATTGCAAGAAATCAAACCTTTAGGTATTCTATTGGTTCAATTAATTCTCGGTACAAAATGAAAGAGGAAATGAAAAGCTTGAAAATTTACAAAAAGAGATATGCAAAGCTCTCAAAAATTACTGAAAATGTTATCCTCCTTGATTTGGATAGATTGTATATATTTAAGAGCACTGGCGCCCATGTAACCATGTTTTGTTTAAACCAGGTATTTGGAACAATCATAGATCGAAAAATAATAAAGAACGAAATTTCGCTTTTTGTGTGAAAACCGTGGATATTTTCTAAGTGATGTTTCACTCGGAAAATGTGAGATTTAATTCTCTATTCGGTGGTGTGAAAGTAAGCGCGCGTGCTTAATTTTTTTTCGGATTTATGGAAAGGTGGTCTTGCGCGTGAATGAGCTTTTCGAGAAAATATCACCGGTTCCAACCAAAGATTTGTCTCTATCTGTTAGCATGTTTGAATTCTAAGCAAAGTATGGATTACGGGCTTTTTAAGCATATAAAAACATTCTAGAAAATATGTATTATGTGGTTCCCTCATATGTAATATACTAAGTAAAGTGAATTATCAAACCAATTAGATAAATTGGTGTGTAAATTCTCTACGGCGTGAGATGAAAACTAGCTTCCAATGGTTCTTCAGATATAATCAAAATTTAGCATCATTGATTCTAAATACTTTCGAATCCCAACATTCCGAATGTTCCCTGTAAATAAAAATAAATAAATCTTTTTGACCAAAATCGTCTGGTAATAAACCAACTTAAAAATCACCCATTTTTGTACAAACACATACAAAATGGAAGGACGCTATAAAGGAATTTTAAAATAGTTTAAATGTACAAAAATACTTGTGATAGCAATATGATGTACATACAAATAATGTAAACACGAACTTTAAAATATATTAAAAAGGGCATTAAAGAATAAAAAAGATGTGCTGTTTTGAGCAATCAATGAATACAATTTAGCAAAAATTTGCTAATTAGTTTGTCTCATAAAAATTTGCCGGTTTTGAACAATATCAGCTACACCACACAGGCTGTGTATAACCGACGTTGCTTTTAAAACTATTTATTACCATTAAAAAACTAGTTTTCTAAGAATACGACACATAATAACAACATTCATGCTGCTTTTTTAATTATCTTTTTCAAGTCAATTACCATCTTAAATGAATAGAAACTGCGTGAGCATTACCCAGACCGCAATTAAATGGAGATATGAACCAAAAACGGTTACTTTACAAACACAATCAGCATGTATAATATGCTTCTCTACTATTTATTTAATAACCGACATTGGCCTACTCATTATTCATGAGGTAAAAGTATTATACCAAATTTAGACACTCATTGTTGTTACCACGCTTTAATTTAATGAGATGTCTTTTACTTTTAATTTTTTGAACGTGCACACATTGTCTAGATTTTAGACGATTTGACGAAAGCAACTACTACTTTCTTAACCATTGTGAAATGTTTCAGTGGACTTTAATATAAATTAACTCTAATAATGGTATTTTTTTAGGACATGAAATTGTTTTTTCAGCAATAATTTTCTGTAGTTTTGTCACACAATTTTTCAGTCGCCGATCTATAAAGTACTGTTTTACATTAGTAATGGAATTTGTATGGTGCTTTCGCCAAACGTCAGGAAMATTTGTATATGCYCTTTAATATCTTGTAATTGGATCGAAATATTTTAATAGATGTATCCCATAATCTATGCCTATTTCTATGCTGTGTTGGGATGCTGCCATGCTGGCCTTTCAGTCGCCAACCTTAATTAAACCACTGCCCAAATTTAAACAATTTAAGCAATTTTGAAACATGTTACAGTAGTAATGACYTGTGATCGAAAATGAACAATTTGAATAAACCTTACCTTAAATATTGCGATTCCGCACGTTGTAGAACCAATGTTTCATGGTATTTGAAACACTAAAGTATTTGTGTCAAATATTTACAAAGGCAACAATATAACTAGTGGTTTTGTGATTCACAAGAATACTTAATATGCTTATTGCAGTTAGTCCCTTCCTATATACATTCAGTTGAAGAAATATATCAACTTGTTGCAAATACAACCCATAAAATCTCAGATAATGAATGCAATGTTTCGGTCGATGCAAGTTAGATTTTAACCAGTGTTTTTTTTACTTTTTCAGGATCTAGAGTTTCACGGTGTAATGCGATTCTACTTCCAAGACTCCGGACAAAAAGTGGCAACCAAATGTATTCGGGTAGCTAGCGACGCCACAGTAGAAGACGTGATCGGTACCCTTGTAGAAAAATTCCGTCCAGATATGAGGATGTTGAGCATACCCAGCTATGCATTATATGAATTGCATGAAGGGTGTGCTGAGCGGAAAATGTCGCCCGATGAGAAGCCTTTACTAGTTCAACTCAACTGGCACGTTGATGACCGGGAAGGAAGATTTTTGTTGAAGAATGTTGATGACAAAACGGTAAGGGCATAATATTTTAAATAATTAGTATAGAAATTGAAATAWTTTTTGTTGCTTAAAAATTCTTGAATACTTACTACAATAGAAGATTGTGAAAAATATGCTATCGCCACTTTTTAAAAGAGAATGACCGGCTAGCAAGAACTAGGCATAATTCGGGCGTGGGATATTGAATGAAAAGTGATAATTTAGACACCATTTTTAGCAACTAATTCTAAATAACTATAAAGAACTAAGGTCCMTAAATTACGATGAAACCATTAGCAAGAAATCAATACAATATTAGGTTTTATTTTTCATCTTAGTTTATTTTTTCGTCCTGTGAAATATGGTTGGTGYYTCCAATTACCAATAATTTTGATGAAATATTTAAAAACTAATTTTTTAAAGTAAATTTGTCTGTTGAAATTTCAGATTGGCTCGATGGGCTCTCTCGACACAAATGCAAGTTTTCGAAGGAAATTGTCAAAGAGGGAGAAAAAACAGTTAAAAAAACAAGAGAAGCTCTCGCGAATAAAATGTGAAAACGGTGACGTCAATGATGGAAAGGATAATGTAACGGAAAAATTATACCACGGTAAGGACACCTTACTTTTTTCTTTTGCTGTTTCAATTTCTCAATCGATGAATTGCAAGTAATTATATAATATTGTTCTAGAACTCCCTGAAACGTCATTTACAAGGTCTATATCTAATCCAGAGGCTGTGATGAGGCGAAGGCGTCAACAAAAATTGGAAAAGAAATTGCAACAATTCCGATCAAAAGACGGCGGTCCTGACACGGGTAAGAATGCGAATAAAATTTGGGGTCTAATTTCAATCACTTCATGTACAGTTCGATGTAGTTTTATTCGCTTAAGTTTTACTGGACCCACTAAGGATACGACTGTATTTATTTCAGGTGGAACCTTGAAAATATATGGAGAAGCTCTTTGTAAAGACGTACCATATAAAACATTACTCTTGTCAGTTAGAGATTGTGCGGGGGCAGTAGTTAGAGAGATGCTGGATAAATATGGGCTAACGAAAGGTAATTTCATTGATTTAACATAAACCTAAGGTAAATGACTAGTAAAATCTTAAAGAGAATGAGAAGATTGGCAAATAAAAAAAGTTAAATCAGAAGTTCTAACGGAAGCAAGTTTTAGAAAATGTGGATATATCAGAGTTTACAGATTAAGTAGCTGAGACACTGAAAATATGTTTTCATGTGGTTGTTTTTACATTCTTCATTCTTAATGTTTATAAACACCCAGCTTAACTAACCTACTGGCAACATGCAGCACTCAACTCATATGTAGTAGATATTAATACCACTTTAGCTAAACATAAACGCTTGTTACTTTGCTTAAATGTGCATTTATTTACAAGGAGCTTAAAATGAATTACATGAATTTGAAACAAGCTCGTCGATTTCTTTCGCAAAATATGATTTTGAAGGTTTGTAAACATTTCAGTACTCGACTCCATTCATTACAAAAAATATGATGGTGAATCAAATAGAAAAAGTTCACGGTAACTAATTTTTAAAAATATGCGAAACCAATTTTTTTATATAATTTGTCGCTTTAAAAATACACTTTCTTAGAGGATTTGAGCTGTTTAATCCCGTCATTCGCGCCACTGCAGCAGACTCTTCTAATGCTTAGTCGTCGACCAAACAGTGGCCTCTAAGCGCTTCTTTCGGAGATCCAACAACACGAAAGTCATAAGGTGACAAATTTGGACTGTGTGGAGTATGTTTCAACCCAACATTTCCAAGCCAGATTTGCCTAAATTCCCCATAGTAGCGTTTAAAAAATGAGGCCTGGCGTCGTCAAGAAGAAGAATTACATTATTAAATCTCGTCTTTCTTTTCTCCACACTATCTAAAAACTTACTTGAAAGCAATTCCGTTTGCATTTGATGTATCCTCAGTTGTGGTATACTTCTTATTACTCATGCTCACTACACTATCTCAAATAAACCAAAGATCGAATTTACCAAGAAAATTATTAAAACCGCTGATGCTAGCTAAATAATATACTTAAGTATGTATATATTTTGCAATATATTTTAGTTTTTCAATTGAAAAACATTAAGTGTTTTAATGTTAATACTTTTCAATTATCTTTTGGTTCGATGCTGTTTTACTTCAAAACCCTTATGACTGAAATATTTCCAGGCATAAGTTAACAGTTTATAAGGATGAAAATATTTTTAATTCATTATGTTAATTTATCTAAACTTGGTACTTAATTTAAGATGTTTTTTCAGTGGATCCGTCCCAGTTTTGTTTAGTACAAGTTACACAGCAGCCTGGCATACCAGACACGGAATATGTTCTTGATGATGACGAATGCCCTCTTAGTATTCTCATGACAGCTCCTAACACAGGTAGGTTCAATTAATATTAGAATTTATATGCGAAGTGAACTTCCACAAGACATTGTTTTAAACTGCATGTAGGCAAATTAAACGTTTATTATTATGATGATTTTTTTGAAGACTGACGAGTAGATGGATGGTATTTAAACATGCAAATGTGAAATCAAAGTGAGATATTAAACCAGCAAGTTGAAAGAAATAGTAAAATTTGTATCTTGCTTCCAAGCAATATGCAGTTTGATAATTAAACTCATTAACATTATTTGTTTTTCTGGCTTAATAGGACAAACCGATTCATTTAATATTTTAAATGCTGTGGGAATAGTTAGTCATACCTATTCGTGGCTTTGTGTTGAGCTTTTATAAACTTAGATTTTATACAGTTTACAGTTTTTGGGACATGTTCTGGGTTTATCAAGCAAATAACTTGATAAAGCTGCTGTCATTCTTGTGGTTATTTTCTCGCTTAGAAACTAAACCAATTTTACCATTTTTAATTTAATAAAATGGCTTTAAAGAATTTACATTTAGCAGCCATTATTTTGTTATATGATATTTATATTTAAGAAGGCAAATTATTAGTGAAACCAGGTACCTTCGCAGTGAGAACACAATTCGCATATATACAAGAACCTAAAAATTTTCCGATCACGAATATTATTCTACTATATTTTAGTTGTTTGCGTTAAAAATAAAATGTATATCATTTAACGTCGGCAATATATCAAACGAAAAGTGATGGGTGCCTATCCGCCTAATAGTGTAGATCCGACTAACGTAATATATAACCCAATTAAAGTTTCTCTTTAACCCTACAAAGCGTTTCCTTCCTGCTAGAAATAAATTGGTAAATCGAGTTAAGACGTTATAAAATTTCCTATTTTATCATATAAAAGTACTTGTTAATAAATGGCAAGAAACGTAGTCAAAATTTATATATAAAATACGTTCAAAAACTGAATGCAGATGACTTTCAACGGTTCACCATATCACTTCAATTCAAATATGCTTAGTTAACTGTAGCATAAAAGACGTAAAAAACTACAACATTACGTTAACATAAAACTCGAAATTTATGCAAAAATAGAAGATATTTTAAACCTGTACCTTTGGTATTTTTGTGCTACCTTTACTACATGAAGAATTATGGAATAACATTGTTCATATGTTTATCAAATTTGAACAAATTCAACGGTATTTTAATTTGTTTTTTTACTATCTTCGGATGTAGACATCATTTCCCAAGTTTTAAAATTGCATGTGACATAATCTGGAAAATCAGCAACTTTGCGACCTCGCAAGGTTTCCGAGATTTCAAGGTTTTACTCATGAAACAGACACACTATATACGACTCTTAGAAGAAGCATAAACAAGGAAAACTGAAAAAGACTTGAACTTGATATAAAGAAAGAAAACACTGGTATCTATAACTTTCTTTTTTCATTGTCGAAGAATTAGAACTTAATTATATTTGTGGCAGACGATGAATTTTCCTTTCCGTTTATTTTATTTTTGCGGTTTAATTTGGCCTTTTACAGGAATATAATTCGATTTTTCCTTACGCAAGTCCTAAAGCTAATTTCATTTAACCCCCCTCGGCTTATTGCGGCTTTTGGATTTGGAAAGAGCCGACTAAATTAGTGTTCCACAAATACAACTTGCAGGACATAAAAGGGGAAATTACTCTGACCTTTGAAAGCACATAGAACTGCCACTTTAAAGGTTTGATCCCGTATTTAAATGGACGTGAAATGTGTGCATTTTACAGGATTCAAATAAAATAATGATTATTAAGGTATAGAGAAATTCCCGGCAGTTAGGTTGAGCTTTAGTTCTTTGTTGCTTTTGCTTCGCGGTTGCCTGCAGCACCATCGGTCCCACCATGGGTTAAAAGTCGTTGTTCATGGTGCTGGTTCCAATGCACCGTTGCCAATTTAGACAATATACTTTCGATTATATTTTCCAGTTATCTAGTCATGGTCTATGGATTATTTACTCTTAGCAGATATTTTTGAAAGTTGAATATATCAAAGACAAGCTCCAATACGTAGGATATTTAGCTCTACAGGAGTCAGATTTATGTAAATTATTTTTAATTGGTTTTTCACAAAGTTTAATGTTTGCCTCATGAGAAAGTGTGAGCTTGTCGTTAGTTAAACTATTCTACATTTTTTCATGCAATGTTTTTTGATTTATTTCTGTAAGTTCCCAAGTAAGATATGTATTAAGAAGCAGGATAATTAGAGGAAAATGGCATGGATGATCTCTTTCTCGAAGTTGATTCGTCAGTTACCATTTGCTGATTCCAACTCGAAAGATATGCTGGGAATTTCACAAAATGATTGATCACATTTCAGTGAGTTTACTCAACAAAAGTTTCGCTTGGAGTTAATTGTAACATCTTATGAGATTAATTTAACTTCTGTCGGTTACACACTACTGGATCTGTCTGATGCCTGATTGAAGTTAACTTAATTATTGGATACTCACATCTCTACAGTTTTTGAAATCTTTGTTCATTCAACATTGAAGAACAAACTTTTTATAGAATGCAATAACTAATTCTGTGCTATTTCAGTGTACTGCGCTGCACTCGACATTTGTCTAATTTTTACAATGATCGAAAATTGACTTTTGTGAATTGATCATAACTTGATAAGGCCCAGAACTTTTCAACTGTAACATTTGCTCCTAATTTGTAATATTCCGCTATGGGAGGATTTTACTCTTGAACTTAACTGTTCAACAAAATAAACGTTACACGGTCAAATTTCACCTAACTTTGAAACTGGATTTTAATTGCTGTCCCCGATTTGATTTGTTCAATTCTTTCTTATTTTTTTCTGCGAGTCCTTGTTTTTGGAAAAATTACATATTTCAGAGAAAGTTTGTACAGGGTGGAAAATAAAACAATGCAACATTTCTGAAAGTTCGGCAAGTTTCAAGTTGATCTAAAAAAATACGTTTTTCTTGGATTTCAATAGCAAACTCGCCAAACTGTTTTTTTTTTAATTTTTCACCTATTTTTTTCATATACATGGTGATCTTAAAAAATCAACTCTTTGGTGATAGTGATACCATTTTTCCTCGTGGACCGACGTCGAAAATTTAGGACTCACGTTGAAGCTAAAATTTCATTCTTGGACGACAAAAATTCATTGACGTGTTGCACTAAAAATGATCCAAATCAGAGCTTCCTTGTAAAAATGAGATTCTGAAGGGCGGTCAATTAAAGTGAAGATTTCTTCCAAACAAACCTTGCAAGTACCAAACATGACAGCATATGGACATCAAAGGAAAGAAATGTATGCCTTGCAAAGAAATCGCTGCTTAATCGGAAAAATTTTTGCGACTGAGTGGCAAAGAACAACTGGACTGGCAACAGGCCAGTCCGATTATTCTGGTTTTTATTACCTTGCATAGTTACGTGCATTTTCAGGTAAGCCTCTTCGGCTTACTATCTTTCGAGAACATGCAATTTGAATTTGGCTTCTCTACCAACCAATCTTAACTCATGTAAACATAGAAGATCCTAAAGTATTTATAATGAACGGATTGTTTTAAAATAAAATTTAACTACTTTACCTGTATACCTACACTCTGTGTATTTAATTTTGTCTTTTATTGTTGTTATTTTGTCTTGTCTTTCGTCGACTGTGAAGGTTGAGAGACTTCAGCATGAAAGAACTTGAAGGTTCACATTCTAAAAATCGGTGTTCCAAAATTTTATTTGTGGGTGTTAAATAAGTTTCTAGGTACTTATGAGGTTTGTCGTTATGCTTTTGGTGTTGAAATCCCACAAAACGTTTTATTGTTCAACTGGGAGCAGGCCGAATTTTTTTAGCGCGAACTGTTAGAATTCGAATTAGACCCAATATAAGAAAGCAAATCGATCGCAGGAATCCGAATTTATCTAGTTTTAAATGAATCTGGGTGTACGACGCATATTGAGCAATTTATATTTTATATTTATTAATTATTTTATTTTTATATAAGTCATTGAAATTACACATCTTACGTAATTGTAATTATTACAATTGTTGACTTCTGCGTCTGTGTTGAAAGTGTGATGTTGATCGTTATTAGAACGGTGAATTACCCGCATTGAGTGATTTTTGTTTTCTAATTTATGTCGGAGACCATTTGATCACTCAAATTGCTCTTTAAGTTTCATTTTGTTGCTGGAGATTTAGTATAAATCGATGAAAAATTAATGTGTTTGAAAAACTCAATGAAACACGACATTTTCGGTTTAAATGAACAGGTTTACTCGCCTAGCTTTTTCAGCTATCTAGCTTGATGGTTCCAATCCGAGTCGCAAATTCAATATTCAATTAGTATTGTTATTAATAAAAAAATGTTGTTGTTTGTTTTTGGTCCGATACGCTGCAATTTGTCCTGGCCATCACATATATGACGAGAGATGGGAGGATATCGAAAACAGTAAGAGCTTTGAAATCGGCTAAATCGTTCAAATGTTCTTAAAAGTTGAAAATTAGTTAATTGACGATTTTTTTTATGAATTTTTGTTCGGTGTAAATATGTTTTAATATGTTTTAATGTAATAATGTTTGGGGTCGTAGCAAAAGCGACCCAATCTTTGCGCAGCAAAAATTAATAATCACAATGGTTATTGAATATTTCTCTAATCTACATTTCAATTTATGAACTTGGCTTATTCAAGAAGTATTTTTTGCTATTCAATTTTTGAGGATTTATTGATTCTGCGTTGTATAACCAACCAGGAGACTTCATTATATTTTAACCTCTATTTCTAATTGATGGTATCCACCTTATTGCTTGTGTGTTTATTACGAAGGTACTAATTATCTTTATACAGGAGCTTGCATCGCAGGGCTTTTGTTTGTGGTGTAGTACAGATCTATGGCATATATTTTGAAAAACTTTTTCATTCGAGACTGAAAACTGTTTGTCTATTCAAAAAATCAATTTAACAAACTGTGAGGTTCGTTTGTGAACAATTACTAAGATGTTCAATTAAAAATGC